TAGCACAATATTGTTGTAGTGGCAATATTTCCAAAACAGTAGATGGCAAGTAATTGGGGGAGGGGGAAGTAACATTAAAAAAAATTTTGGAGACACTGCAAAAAACATTTTTAATATCAAACTTCTAACATAATACTCTGAATGAAAAGTGGCAAGTCCTTGTGACTTGTTAAATGTGTCAATAAGGGGCTGGCTTTAGCACAGGTCTTCATTAAATGACATGGAGATCTTTACATTTCTATTTGAGGAGACATTACTACTGAAAGTCTGAATTTCATATAACCATGTTAGTTTATGGTCATAAATCTTGAATAGCTAAATTTGGACCCCCTAATAATATCTCCTATTCTAACTGGTAGAATTCTATTAAGTCTGATGATATGAAGAACAACATTAAGTGTATATTAATGAATTCCGATACAAAACTATTAATAAATACTTTAATTAAATAAATTAAAACAGTCATTACAATATTGTTAATTGAACTTTTATATAATATTAATAAAATATTTTGTATATGTAAAAAGAATAGTATTGAAATTAAGTTTTGAAAAATAAGTATAATATCAATGTGTTTTCGTTGCACTAAGTTTATTACTTAAGCTATCTCATCAGAAATAGTATATGCTGCATAATTTACCCTCCCCGTTTTCAAACTTTAAAATTAGTTGAAAAAAAGGGAAAATACAGGAATAAATTTGGTAATTCTAAAATGCTTTTGAAATAATAAATATTTATCGTAAATCCAAATCAGCAATTCGGAAATATTTTATATTGTAAAGTGAAAAGCGAATGCAAATTAAGTAATGAAACAAATACGGGGCAAAGTAGGAATACATTCTAACTTTATAAAAAGGTTAAAATAAAAGTATGATTAAACAAGTATTTGCAATAAAATGATAACACAGATAAAATAGTTAAGTATTATTAAATCCTGAATAGTATTTCTTTCATGCTACCTGAAGTTCATGATATTCTGGAGGAATTTTCAAAATGCATATAACTAACCGAGTAAGGTTCCTACTAAAATTACAATAAATATTTCTGTGGTGCTTCAGTATAAAATTAAGAATTACAATGGATTTACAAAAATGTTTTATTAATTATAGTTGCAAATAAAATGATGATCAGTTACACTTCTGAAGGAAGCAGTGACAAATCACTTGAAATTTTTGAAGAGAAAGAACAACAGCTCATTAAGAAATGAAAGCAAAGCATTGATAAAATTGTCTCAGTCAAGAGGCAAATTAAATACATTCTGCAAAGAAAACAAAGATCAGAATAACACAGCATCGTTTCACTTTAAGAGCAATAATTTTTTAACATTTTACTTTTCGAAGGGACTGATCTGTATATTCCCCATTTACAGACTTTTGGGAAAAAAATCTAATTTTCCTTGAACATTTTGCACTTTTCAGAAATCTCCAGGTGAATGGGAACCCTGTTTAGTTATATTATTGAGATGTATAAAATAAAATGAATCAAAAACACGATGACAAAACATGCAAAATACCCTATTGTATTCCAAGAATTCAGTGATCAACATAGAATACTTAAAATGCTTTTATTAAATAAATAAAATAAGGTCTTGAATATATATATAATTTTTATAACATATTTCACAAATTTAGAAATTTCACATTTTGGTATAATTGACAATGGTGTAAAAATATTTCTGGATCATTATATGGTTAATTTTATGAAAAATGACTACTTGCCAGTAGATAACTTACACTAAGTTAATTTCATAAAATGACAATTCTTCATAAATATTTCAGCACAGAAAAGTAAGGTTTAGCACTTAAGGAAAATTTTTGTTTTAAAAATAACAAATTTGTGTATATCTGATTCCCTTCTTTTCTGAGCATAAATCATAGTATATGCAAGATAAAACTGTCATGGTTCGATGCAGTTAAGTTACCCTGATTTTGTTGTTAATTGTCCTAATCAGCACTATCAAATCATCTTCACTTTCCTCTGTGTCATCATTTCACAGTCTTTCATTTATCTTTTCAATCTTTAATTGATTCTCAAGGTGGTCATTTATGTTACCAGTTTCTACGGCACCTCACTCTGTTTCTTGGAATATCTGGGTTTTTAAGTCTTGAAAAGTTTGCAACAATATCTTCATTAAATCATAAACATTTGACTTACTTCACTTACAGCAAAAACAAAACCAATATTCATTACTGTTATTTTTATTTATTCTGATTAAAAAACACATATTTACAAATAAAACAACATTGTTCACATACAGACAGAAATCCTCTTATAGCTGATTTACTTTTCCCACCTCATTTTTGGAAAATTCTGATTTTTTTACATAAAATTGTACGAATTAAGCAAAATAAGTAAAAAGAAATAGAATACAAATAAATGGATTGAAGTTTTATTGCTTAATTGATTTAAAATTATAAATTAGGCATACAAAATATATTATCTGTTTGGCAAAGAAATATTACACAATGCTTTATAAAGTTCGACTGCTTAGTAACGTATTGATTTAAATTCTAAATCAGATTCAGGGATTAAATTACTGGCTTGATACATATAAAAGTTAAACATTATACAATGCTGTAAAACACATAATGACAAGGTTTTGACAGACAATAAGATATTTATTTAAAGTCACAAGTTTTAACTTTAAAAGAATAAATAATCTGTTTCACAAACACACGTCTAAGCTTTTTGAAAAAAGTTATGCAATTTTACAAAATATATAATAATGAATATTTTTGCCTATGTACAGAATATCACTGTTCAATGTCATGCTTTGTGGTAAAATATCAAACAAGGTGAAGCAGTCATACTTAAATAATTAAAATATGGAAATATACCAGCTGTTTCATCAATGGAAACTGGAGAAACGTCATAATCATCAAAAAGAAGCCATTTATCTGATGAAGCACTCTCTTTAAAGTTCAAAATTTCTTGAGTTGTACAGCAACTTTCTATATCAGCACTAATTATGTCAGCACTAAATACCGGTACTTTTAATTTAGGTCTATGAAAGTTCTGTTTGGAATCTTGCTTTGATGGTGATGTTTGCGATACATCCTTCACAAAAGCAACATAATGTCCTCCATCTATTGATTGTCCAATATGTAAAACAACAGCATACAGACTATAAATCTGATGCGGAGTGCAAGAGAATAGGTCACAGTTCTCTGATGTTTCCAATAGTAAAGGAATGATAATTTTCATGTTGGCTTTTTCAACATTAGTCATATTACTATAAATACAGGCATATTTAATTTTGTTATATATAATAATTATGAAAATGTTCTTTAACAGATTTACATAGATATAGAAGATATATTTATTGAATAAGAAAGTAATTATAAGCTATAATTTAAAAAAATCAAAGCATTATTATTAAAAGGTATTTCTAAATAGTAGATGATGCAAATTGTTCTCACCAATGAGTTGGCTAAATTTTTAGTAGTTGCAACTAATCTATGAAATGAATGAACATAAATAAAATAAATCTTAACTACTCATAAATGACTATGTGAGATGTTACATTATTTAGTTTCAAGGATCTTGTCTGTCCAGCTACTGTTATTTACATTAAACAATTTCTCATAGCTTAGGCTTTCCTTAACACCTCCCTTTTTTGACTTCATATAATTATTTAAATTACAATGAGTGAATGAAACAAGTGTAATATTGTTTTTGCATTACTACATATTAACAGCAACTAGCAGATTATTAAGTCAAACTAAAATCATACGTTTTTCATTAAATCATTTTCATTACAGAAGCAATGCATAGTTTTAATTTCTTCCCTATTGTCTTTTATAACACAGAAATTTACAATGCACCTAAAATATCAGCAAACTAATGGCAGGACAATCTATTAGCCTTCAACAAATTAGCAAATTGGTCAGCTTTCCTTGGTAACTAATAAATTCATTACCTCTCAAGGGGGAAGAATACATTTAGCAAATTTTTCAGCAGCAATGCACAAATGGTGTCGCCAATGCAAAAACAATTTTTCAATATATAGTCTTACCAAATGAAGGAAATTTATTGTTAGTGTTCCTAATATTAAAAAAGAGCGGGGACCAACAGCAACACAGGCAATAAAAAATAATACAAAAAGCATAATTTTAACCAATGAATCTGATAATATGACAAAGGGCATATATTATTGCATCTGCATCAGGACTGGCAAGTTTCTATCTGCCAATGTGATAAAACCACTGATTATTATCTGCATGGCATAAAAAAGGTACACTCATGAAATAACTAAAAACTGATTAAGTCCTATAAGCAGTAGTGAGAAATACTTTTTAAAAATAAAACAAATTCAGCCCCAGACCAAGAAATGCTTGAAAGAAGTATGGATGCATGCATGATGGGAGCTAATCACGAAAGTTGACAAAAGAAAAATCCATTGTTGATGTTGACAAATTTGTCAAGCTAGTTAATGACACAGGATTGGCTAATATAAATGCAGGATATTGAAGAAATATTGCAAGTTACTAACACTAATGTTTATCCTCATGCACCATGAGCATGAAAGAAGGGGTAAATTGCGAACTGTTTACTTAAACTATAGTGTTTGTACTGAATTATTTATAATATAGTACAAAGTCCGAAATCCGGATGTCCATTATCCGGAATGATCTAGAAGCCACATACTTTTTCTTTTTTTAAATTAATGCTTTTCGCATGTGCATTTGATTTTTCCTTCCATAATAAAACGTGTGGAGATTTTCACTTAAAAATTCCGATTCTTAATTTCGCTTAAGCACTAAATAAAATGTGTCATTATGGAAAAACAATCATGTAAGCATAAATTTGTGAGATTAATAATTTGGCTCCGTAGCTGAGTATCCACTTAGCATACATCTTAAACAGAAAAAGTCACCTATTTTATATCCTTGATGCCGACCTGGTGAGTCATTATTTATTATATTTTGCTTTCATCATCACGTGTTTATTAATACATGACAGCTTCAGTAATGTCATTCATGCTGTGATGTCTAAATTTATTTTAATTAGTAATTGAATAAAATGAGTATGGCAACCTTTTATGCTAAAATTACACTAGGCGATGATTACAGATTTTTAAATGCTTTAAGAAATGCTGACGAGAAAAAATTCAACAAAAATTTCTTTTCATATGCTAAAATGATTCATATGCTATGATTTTGTTAATGAAACCCATAGGCCAAAAGATTACATTTAGCGCTATTTTAATTAAGAATAACTGATATGTTATTCACCATAAACCCAGAAGCGGCAGCAGAATATGTCAGCACCAGACGGCAGAATTTAGGGAAGACGAAATTTTTGGAATTTGGGGATGCATACTCCATAAGCCATCACTTTGGTCCAAGTGGCAAAATTAAGGGATGAGAAGTATTTATGATTTAGGGAAAGCACTGGAATCCAAAGTTTAAGTGTGGTGAAAATTTAGAACTTAGGAAAGTGCTTTGTAGCAGAATTTAGGACCCGTAGAGACTGCACCAGGCGGTATTGAGCACAGGCCCTAGATAAAGCCTTAAGTATATGTGGGAGTTTATTTATTTAGGACTCAGATTAATTTTAAGCATGTGAAAGAAATAAATGTAGGTATAGTAAATAACTAAACTAATACAATGCAAGCTTAATTCAGTATGCAATAGGAGCAAGACGAAATTTAGCAAAACAACTTGGCTTTCGTCGCCAATCTTGTGATGCAGAGCCAATAATGTATAATGGATGCTATTAAGCTAGGCTAAAATGATCTTTACTGATTATAAAGCATTTCAATTAATGTAGCAGATTGCGCTGCTCCCTGATCTTCTAATTTGATCCAGCTTATTATTTTTTGCACTGTTATTATTACAGCAATTTTATAAAAACTAAGCTTGAACTTTCGATTATGTCGAAAAGAGTTTCCAATTCTGGAGTGTCAAGATCTATAAAGTGAAACCATGTTTTGATGTCCATTAAAGAAAAAGTGGAATTGCAGCAAAAAATGGATAAAGGCTTATCCGTCTCAAAAGTATAGCATTGGAAATTCCACTGTATATGACACAAGAAAAAAGAACTTTTTGAATTTTTTGTGGAAGCACCTTAAACAACTTTCATTGAAAGAAAGTTTAATAAAGTAAACAAATAAATATTAAGCTTTTTTTTTTTTTTTTTTTTTTTTTGTAAATTTTCATACCCTTTAGATCATAAGTGTTCTTTATTTTATAAATTATGATTTCATATTTTTAATTGTATAATTTCTGCATGCTATCTTACCAGATTTAAATTGATGATCTATTATCCGGAAAAATCCCAAATCTGGAATCGCGAAAGTCCCGACCAGTCTGGATTTCAGACTTTGTACTGTAGTATTAACACAGTATAGAATTTAGAAGTATAGAACTATATTGTTAGTTATTATCATGGATACCAAGAAAGCAAAACGTAAAAATTATGATTAACAGCACAAGTAATTTGCAGAGTATGTTAATTACTGGAACAAGATATTGAAAATACAAAATCACTAGAAGAATTTAAGATGAATCTACAAGAAAAAAACAAAATAGATATTTAAGTTAGATTTAGAAATCGAGGATTAAATTCCTGAAGCGTCAGATCTCAAAATGGAAGTCGAGAAAAATCAGGAATATAGGCCTAGAAATTGAGGGTTTATTTTCTGAAGTGTTGGATCTGATGGAATACAAAGAACACTTACTTGGAGCAGAACCAAAAATTATCTCAAGAATTCAGATAAGAATAAGGCAGATCTGTCGAAGAGTAACTCTTCACTTACTTCAAAAAGTGAACCAGAGAAACTCAAAATAAATTTACCAAAACTTCACCTTTTGAGGGTGATTTACAGAAGTTTCAGGAATTCTGGGCACAATTTGATAATTTAATTCATAGCAGTGAATGCTTATCCAGAGTAGATAAATACATATTAAAGCTTTCTTAAAAGTTGCCAGCCTTAATTAGTATTTAAAGAATATTGATACATACATAATTATGAGTGGGATTGCTTGAAAGGTAAGGGAAGAAAGAAATTATTGCAAGATCCAATATTAATCGTTTGTTAAATTTGAATGCAATAAAATCAATCCCTATTTGAAACAATTATGGGAGTTATTCAGCATAATGGGAATCCAAATGTGCGGGTTTGCGAACTCTCGGTGCTGAACTAAAATCTTATGGAAGTTTGTTGTTCCCAATTACTTAACAAACTTATTACAGATTCTATTGCATTAGTTTTTAGACAGCATGAAAAAAATGTTTCTTGGAATGTAACAGAATTATCAAAATGTGTTAGAAGAGGAGCACAAGAAAAAATACTTTTTGTTTTGATAAGCTGAGTAGAATAACAATTCAGTTAAAAATATAAAACATAAACAGTCATTTAATAAATTTTCTGAAAAGGGAAAAAAATTCCAGAAGTTTAAAGGGGAAAAGCAAGATTCAATTCTTAATACAACCACACTGACTGCATTTAAAAAATTTTCGATTTTCAGCATTAACTTTAGCACAGTTCTGAAATTTGTGATAAAAAACATGTGGGAAGTTGAGAGTTTAAACTGAAATGGCAGATGTTTTTCATGCCTGAAAAAAATTATGTGGTTCGGTCACGTAAATGGAAAGGGCATTGCTTGACATGTAACCATAAAAATTCTAGCTCAATTTGTGACACCAAATGCATCCAGTGTCAGACTGAGAGTTGCGTAGAATTGATGGATGACAAGAGAAAGAATCAAAGCAGTCTTAACGACAAATCATGGTGAATTTTCTGATGTTTCAGCATATTTGAAGAAAGCAATGATTTTTGACAGTGAACCCACTGAGTGTTTGATAGATACAGGAAGCAATATTAGTTTAATAAAATCTTGAGTAGTCTCGGAACTGTGACTACCAATACAACCAGAAAGAAAAACATAATTTGGAATTGAAAATGAAAATCACGCATCTATGATGACGTTGGGTAAAGCTAAGGTTGTACTCAGAATTTCTGACAAAATCAAAACAATCACAAATTTGTTTATCATAACTGACAATGCACAGCCATTTGACATAATTATTGGAAGAAGATTAAACAATAAAATGTTGGATTATGGGAAAATAGGTGACAGATATAACATTTGGTATACTAAAAAAATTCCATTCCCGCAACTGAAAAATGGGATGTAAACAAATTAAATTATATGCTGAGAATCCAAAGTAAATGAAAGATAATATGATAAATTTTGTGCATGCTGTAATCCCTAATATAAATAGCAGACTGATTTTAATTCAAAAGAGACATGGAAGCACGGATTCAGTGTTGGAAGTTATTGATGGCAGAACAATAGTCCTAGTAATGAACATAGGACATATCAACAATCAGATTAAAACAAAACCAGTGTATAGGCAGGATAAAAGGCGCAACATAAGGCTGGGAATTAAAGGAAATAAACATGCCTTAATATAAATAAAAATGAAGAACAAAAGGATGTATTATTCCACTTTTTAAAATATTTTACCAATAAATAAAGATTACGTAAAATTTGATGAGAACACTAATTGACAGTAAAAGGAGGATTAATTGTAATGAGGGATTATATGTGAATTAAAATCAAATATTCTGAATCAAGCTTTCATGTTGGAAGATTACATTATCTTTCTCAAGCCAACTTGCTTGTATTTCACTGCTGAACTTTTCTTCTTATTCCATCGAAATTGCTATAAAAATGTAGGGGGGGGAAACAGAAATGTCATCAAGAACAGATTGAGTCTGTTATGATATCTAATTAACATTAAGAGTATGCTACTCATGTTTACAGAAAATTCAAATAGGGCAGTATAACTGCTAAAATCTTTTAACATAACTAATGTAATGAAGCAGACTTAGATGTAATGGTATTGTAGAAACATTGATAGCACAGATCTAGAAACTTTGCATTTCATAGATTTTAATGTGTAATGAAGAGCAACTCTGAAGCCAAGGCAAATTAAAAATTTATTTTTATTCCGAAAAAAAATTTTGTGGCTACAGAAAACTTAGCAGTCAAATTCGTGCCTATTTCAAAATGTTTACGTTTTTGACAGCTTTGGGATAAGAAGAGATTAGCAAGCAGCAATCCAGGTAGGCAGCGGAACAGATGTGTTTAGGATGAAATCTTAATTCAGAATGAGTTAGTTTCGGTTTTCAATGCATTTGAATGGATAATTAATACAGCTGTAAAATTATTATTGGTTGTTTAAGTTCCAACATCACCAACATTATGTAAGGGTCATATGACATGGATTAGTCTCGAAATCATGCAGAGCAGAAAATGGTTTTTACTATTTTTAGAATAAAAAGGGGTAATACTAAATTAAAATTAAGCATTATGGGGCTATTGCTAATTTAAATTATAATTTTTATTAACATATTTTTTTCTAAAAATTTTCTATTTATATGTAGAAAGTGAGAGAGAGAGAAGGAAATAAAATTACTAAATGAAAGTATATAAATAAAGCATAAAATAAAATAATGCATGTCAAAGTGCTAAATTCAATATTATATCCAAATACAAGTTATTGGATATTTATATTTTGTTTCTTGTATTTATGTTTTGTTTTTTTTCTTTCAAATAATGCAATATCTAGCACACCTCTAGTCTACTGTGCCTACATTATAATACAAGGTAACCAAAAAAAGTTCTTGCCGTTTCCGATATGACACTGGAAGAGTAAACCCCAACATAAAAATAGTCGCTAAACCTAGCGATGAAGTGGTTAGGATAGGAGTCCGGATATTGATCAAGAGTATAAAAGCGTGTTGCATGCGTACTCACACATAATTCACACAGCGACTGATTGAAATGGACTTATCAAAAGTGCTTGTTGAGTTGTTTGCTGTATAATTTTAAGTGGGTCTGTCAGCAGCTTCTGCTGCTCAAGTTGCCGAATTTGTCAGGCATTTGAAACGATCAGATGGCATTTGCACAGCATAGGAAAGGCATACAAGCTGAGCAAGTGGGTACCCCACTCACTGTCCAATGCAAAGAACAACGTGTTGCTGCCTGTTTGTCACTGCATACTTGGCACCGCAATGCATCCATATTTGATCTAGTATTCATCAGCGATGAAATGTGTGTGCAGTATGACACACCCAGGCATTCCAGACATTGATTGTCACCATGGGAGCCTGTGCCTCATACTGCAAGACCTTCTCTGCACCCACGCGAGGTCATACTCTGTATCTGGTGGACTAGTCGCTATGAGCTCCTGCCAGCGGGCCAAACTATCACAGCAGGCCTGTACTCACAGCAGTTGGAACGTGTGCATCAGGCACTAATGCATAAACAGCCAATACTGGTCAATCGGAAGGGTGTACTCCTCCTCTATGACAATGTGAGGCGGCATGTAGCTCAGGATGCCAGAGACACCATCCAGCGACTGTGCTGAGAGACTCTACCCAATACACCATATTCACAAGACCTCATGCCAACAGACTACCACCTTTTCCACTCCCTGGACAACAAACATCTTCTTGAGAAATACTTCAACAACCGCTAGACCTCAAAAAGGCCCTCACAAACTTCTTTGCGTCTAAGACTCCCGAGTTTTACCACGATGGCATTGCACAGCTAGCCACTCATTGGCAAAAGACACTGGATGCTGATAGTGATTACTTTGAGGATTAGTGGTGATTATTATTTGTTATATGACTGTCCAAAACTGCAAAAACATTTTCGGTTACCTTGTATATCAAGAAATGTGACTGGGTTGTGTTTCACTCATGTAACCTGCTGATTGTTTAAATTATAATATTTCCTCTTCTATTCAGAGCTGAACAGGTGGGAAATGGTAAAAAGCATGAAGAAAAAACAAATGCAATTTATTAAAAAAAAATTAAATTTAAGATTTTTCAGATTTTACTGCACTTTGGAGAAATCATGACAAGTGATGTAAAAATATAAGAGATAAAAGTTACCTGGATCTTGTAAACCAACTAAAATGCAGCAGAAGAATTGAAGGTGGCACTATCACTTTAGAGCCTAATCTTGCTTCATTATAATGAAGGCATTCTTCACAATAATACTTAATTTCCCCAGATAAAATTGTAGTTTGAGATAAGCAGTGTCTGAGATCAACTGCATCTGTAAAACAATTAGACAATATATCTATATCTTAAAAAAGTACAAATATATGTATATACAGTCAAACGTCGTTAATTCGGACAACCATAATCTGGACCTCAAAGCTACAAACTTTCGGCGCATGCGTTGCGTTGACTCATGCGCGTAAGACCTTTACGGCTGCGAATATGCCTGTGCGCATGCACATAATACATTTACGCATGTGTGTTTAATGTATAACGGACAGCATAAGCTAAGCTAAAATTATCTAATTCAGTTAATGTTGCAGATTGCGTTGTTCCTTAATCTTAGAATTGGATCCGGCTTATTATTTCTTGCAGACTGTTAGAGCAATTTTATAAAAAGTAAGCTTGAACTTTCGATTATGTCAAAAAGAGTTTCCTATTCTGGAGCTGCCAAAGGATCTACAAAGTGAAAGCATGTTCATGTTCCATCAAACAAAAAAGTGGAATTGCTGCAAAAAATGGATAAAGGCATATCCTTTGTTTCTCCAATCATTCCTAAATGTGTTTATCAATTTCACGCTGCTCTGCAGGGGAGGGGAACATCGCGGTGCGCATCGAACTGGAAGTTAATCTGCCAGCACTATCTTTATCTTCAGGGCAGATGGTTTTATTTTATTCAGCTTATAGTTCATTACTAAATGTAGTATTTCATCTAGATGTACTATGGCTTTTATATGATTTAAATCAAATTCTGTCATTAATTCTTCCGATAGTGAAGAAAGGACACAGAGGTATTGAAAACGAAAAATTCGATTGACAATTAGTCAGTATTCCGACACAGTAATTATAGACTTGAACAGCGGAATTTGTAACTGAACAAGAAATTATGTCTGTTTATAGAATTAAAGAGAAATATCATCACAATAAAACAGAGCACTTAAAACTTACATGAAAGAAATGTAATAAAGTAAACAAAAAATATAGCTGTTTTTTTTTTTTTGTAAATTTTAATACCCTTAGATCATAATGTTATTTATTCATAAATTATGGTTTCATTTTTAATTTAAATTTTGGTTGCCATTTACCAGATTTAAATGATGATCTATCCGGAATCGACGAAGTCCCGACGAGTCCGGAATAACGCCTTTGACTGTATAATAATATAAAAATATCTTTTTAAGTATAATATTATAACATTTTCTGTAGTATTTAAAGAAATAACCGATGAACGTCTTACGTGAAAAAAATTACATTCTCAATCCACGAAGATAGATAATTTAAATAAAATTTTATCAGTTACAGCTTAACAGGGTTCATAGCCACATTTAGTTAAAAAATAAGCACTTAAAGCACTTTCAAGCAATTTTAAGGAAAAAAAATAAGCACCTGTCTAATTACATTACAACAACGCATAACCTTAAAAGAAAAATAGACTTGCAATTTAAAATATGGCAAGCAGGCAATTATTATTAGAGAATGAGCATACCTCAACCATGGAAACAATTAACTTTTTTTTTTTTTTTATTTACAGATTAGTTTACAATGGTGAGAAAAAAAAACTATGCAGAAACTAAACTATTACAAGACTTAATGATGAAATTTCAGTTCAAAATATAGAAAATAAATAATAATAAGCCAATTAATTGTATCTGCTTGGCACCTAAAACAAATACAATTTATTTTTCCACCATATATATTTAAAAATTTAACTTAAATCAAATTCTGAACATTTCTAAATTTTCATGCAGAACAGTTTTCCGTTTTCCTTAAATATCCAAGCAAAGTAATTTAAATTTAAATAATTTAACTTGAATCAAAATTCTGAACATTTTCTAAATTTTCATTGCATAACAGTTTTCCCTTAACATATATTCCAAGCAAAGTAATTTAAGTAAAAAAGAGGAACATTTCTGAAATCAGGAGACGGGAAATTGCTTCATGCAGTTATCCTTTAACAGTAAAAGCTTAACTAACCCGCATACTCGGAAATTGCCGAATATTCCATATAGTCAAGCGTAACTGGAAAAAGAGGAGGGGGGGGAGATTGTAGCCGTTCTTTAGATTTCTCGGCTAAATAAATGATTTTGACATTTCGATATGTGCATCATATAGAAATAGACCAACGGAACCAATTCAAATAGACCAATTCTCAACGGAACTGAGAAATATTCTGCTTAAAAAGAACAGTAAAACTCTTTTAAGTGTTCATAAATAAATCTCGGACTGAACATCAAAATTAATTATCTCTGCAAAATACCGCAACGTTATTGCGCAATACGTGCAGCGTAATTCTTCCATACATGATATTCTGCAATCGGAATCAACAGCTGCCGGTATTCGGAGAATAAAACAGGAAAAGAAAGAAACTTACTAATCTGGGGTGTTTTTGATTCTAATTTTGAACAGACCCTTAAATTTCTGAAATAGAATGATTCTTCGCTTGGGTTGGGTAGACCGCAAAAACTTTTAGTCCTATTCAATCCAGATTGGACAGTGACAAAAAAAAAAAAAAAAAAAAAAAAAAAAAAAGTCTGCTGCTTCAATATTACAGATTTTGCGGAGAAAGGGGAGAACCTCCCAACCTCTGTACTGTATAATGTATTGGCAAAAAAGAAAAGAAATTATTCTGACTATTCGATTACTTTCCTTTTATTTAAGCCATTCCGAATATTATTCCTTAGAAAGTTAATCTGTGTAAAAAAACCCATTTTTGGAAGTTTATCTACACTTCATCAGCTACTGCAACTATATTATTATAAATATTCATACATATACTCATAATATAAGCATAACGATCATAATAAACACGAATGTGAACTGACCACACGGAACGAGAATGCAAATTATTAAAATCTTGATAGAAATTCAAACGTGTGTAGTATTTGGGTGGGAAGAAAAAGAATACCGAATGTACCGGAATTTTCTACGGTTTTCGCAATTCTTTGACCAATAGAACGACATGCACCTGTCTGTACTCTCGCGTGCACCATGGGGGGGGGGGATGTGCGTTCATTAAAAAAAGCACTAAAAGCAAAAAATAAGCGCTAAAAACAAAAAACTAAGGGCTTTAAAGAAAAAGTAAGCACCTATAAGGGCCTTTATATTTTATTTTCAAATATAAGGACTTATAAGCACTTGTAAGGACTGCTACGAACCCTGCTCACACTCCAGCTCACTATTACAGTTTCTTTCTCTGTAAATTTTTCATACACCTACTACTTGTAAAACTTTTAGAATAACAATTTTAAACATTTTCTCACATTGCTCAGCAATGATTACACGATACAAATATAGCATTGCCACTCCAATATCAAAGGATAATAAACATAATTATTTGTTAAATATTACAACCTCTTCCCCTCCAGATAAACTTTTGATATTTTTATAAAGATTACAATTTTTTTTTCAAAACGCAATATCAACACAATACATAATTGAAATACAACATATAACATGCAGTCAGGAAGAGAGGAAAGAACAAATTATTTTTTTATCTATATACAGAAACAAATTCTTTATTCAGGCCAGGGTGTACGACTTAATGCGTCTATATTTTTATGGTTTTCACCACTTCGATGAACAGCTGTGTAATTGTAGGGTTGTAATACTAGTGCCCATCTCATAAGTCATGGATTTAGACTCACATTATTTTTAAGCCAAACTAAGGGATTATGATTGGTCATGATGAGGTATTTAGTATGCCTGTCTAAATAACATTGCAGTTTCTTTACAGCTAATATTATGGTGGTGCATTCCTTTTCTGCGGCAGAGTACTTTTTTTCAATTTCTGTAAGCTTCCTACTGAGCCTACAGAACTGAGCTATATTGGAGCCTACTGAGCTATATTGGACGTTCATTGTCTTATTCATCTTTCTGAGCTAAAATAACACCCATACCAGAGACTAAAGGATTAGTTTGCAAAATAAACTCCTTATTGAAATCAGGTTGTGTAATAGAGGCTTTTGTGGCAGTTTTACTTCTTCAACAGCTCGCTCTTGTCTGTTTAGTTTCTTTAAAAACTTACCCTTGATTTGCATCTCAACTGCAGAACTAATTGTGTAATTTTGTCGGTTCTTTCTTTTCAGATAGTTTTTTCTCCTTGAGAGATGAATTTTTCTTCTTATCTGTTACTTTCATTTTCATTGAATGTGGCAACTTTGAGTTTCCTTTATCATGCTTATGCCTCTTTGCTACGTTTTCTGATGCGTGCTTACATTCTGAACATATTTTTAATTTCTCAGCTTTAGAAGCACCTTCATGAGTTCTTTTATCAGAAGTCCTTTGATCTGCTGTTAACAAACTGTCAAACACATCTTTGCTTTTTGGAGATGAAGGAACTGGGAAACTTGTAGGGGAATAATCACACACACTATTCATAGAAGGTGAATCACCAGATGTGAGTGAGGTTACTGGCACAAAACCAAAAATGATTATAATGCGCCAAACACGAGGTGAGATGATCAAAATTGATGAAATCAAAATAATTTATTAGTAAATAAAAACAGGTGGACAAATGTACCAAATCCAGAGGATGAAGTAATATAAAAACAAGGTAAAAGTACACATTAAATACAAGACACAGTCTTCAAAACAAATTACATTAGGTAATAAAAGCCTCTCTAATAAAGTCTCTTTTAAATAATAAAATAAATTATAATTGAGCTCTCTTCTGATTAAACAGTCGAGAGGCAAGTCACAGCTATTAAAATATTTCTGACGAAGACTATTAAAACATGGACACCCAATTAAAATATGACGTGCTGATAGACAAACATTACAATTCAAACAAACAGGCTCATTCTCAGCCTTCAAAAGGTAGTTATATGTCACTCTAATGTGACCAATTCTGAGGATAGTCAAAAGAACTTCCTCTTTACGATTTCCAGCAAAATCCCAATGCTCAATTCTAGGCTTTACATTTCTCAACTTAATGTGAAGCTGAACGTCCTAAATTTACTGCCATTTTTTTCGGATCTTCTCTTTGATGATACAGCAGATATCTCTAAAAAAGATAAGGCGACTGAGCAGTTCAACAGCAGATTTTGCTGCGATATC